TTGACTCAGCACACAGCAGCCTGGTCTAGAGGCAAGTAATTCAACTTTCTTCCTTTCATCCAGTTCTCTTTTCTTTTGAATGGGTCTGCCCAGGTCTGAAGCAGCCCACCAACCCTCTAAGGGCCCAGGACAACTCTGGACTGGCTCATGGTTCTCCCAGGAACCCCCCTGGCAGAAGTCTGTGTCTTTGCAAAAGGTGTAGACACTGCCCCCTCTAGGGGCCTCCTCCCTCCCAGGCTGTAGGTCACCCAGGGAGCAGAGGAGGAAGAAGCCCATCCCTTCCTCAAACAGAGCCTCTCACCCTTTTAAATTAATTTTCCATTGTCTAACAACACCCTAGTACCACCCCAACAGCCCAGATTCAAAACCTAAGCCAAACATAAAATCCAAACCTGAGTTTTATTTTTATGAAAATGTCTGCCCATCCTCTATTTTCTGGTCTGTGGATTAGGGGAAAAATAATGGAAAGAAAGAAAAGAAAAGAAAAGAAAAAAAGATGAAGTAAAAAGCAAGGTGGGACTGACTGTATTTTTAGCCATTCATTTATTTGTCTTTAAGTCTATAAAAGTCCCCCTAAAGGCAGACAGTGAATATTTTATTTTAATCTTGTAGTTTCCATCGAGATAGGCCTTTTAACCCTTCATCCTCCAGCTCAGCCCGAGTCCCCGCCCAGGCGATCCTTGAACGAGGGCTGGGACTGTACTAAGACTCTTTCTTCGAGTTGTTTGTTGACCACATTCACGTTCAGAGCCCTAGAGCTAAAAGCATTTTACACCATAAAATAAAAGCACTGTCTTTTTTCTAAAAGGTTACGTCTGGAGGCCATGCGGCTCATACTTCATACCGAAAACTACTGAAAGGGCTATGAAATCCTCTATGATTTACACTCTCTGACTGCATTAGGGTATAGATCTACTCGACTCTAAAAATACGGTGGGTTTCTAACCGACGTGAATATATGTGCATTATTTCAGAAAGTCTGTTAGAAAACTTGTCAACGCATTATAAAGCATAAACCAGGGCTTGGCTATTAAGTACGGAGATCAGAGGCATAATATATACTGCAGGAGGTACTGGGGAGTCTTCTCTTCGGGCGGGATAGAGAGAGGGAGGAGGAGGGGAGGGGTCGCCTGCTGGCCTAGAGTTTACGGGCAGTGTCGTCACCAGAGGGTTGGGAAAGAGCCCTCCGAGCGTAATTACCCTCTCCAAAAGAGCGGCGAAGGTTCCCCAGCCCCAAACGAAGTTAACTGACCGGCCAGAAAATAATTTCAACGTTGTCATAATTTATTACTTTCTAAAAGCCACTCCTGGAAAGGTAAATATACTTATTGTATATCCAAGTGTGCGCGTTCAAAGTGATCTTTCACCCCCCTCTGCAAAACCACCTGCATCATCAATCAATACTTATGTAATATTTTTAAATCTCCTAAAGCAGCACATTTTTACTTCTTTAAACACAAGGTACGAGCCCGTCCCCTCCCCCACTTTGGGGCTCTGGAGTGAGCCTCAGGCGGCGAAGAGGAGGGGGCGTCGCCGGTACCGGAGCGCGAGGGACTCGCGAGGGGGGTCGGCCGGAGGAGCGGTCAGATGCCGACGCACAGACCTGGCTTCTCGGACCGGGGGAAACCTGGCCGGGGGAGGGGCGGGAGCGGAGGGCAGTTACTTCACCCTGGGCATTTTATGGTGGTGAAATTAAATAGATGTTAATGGTAGAAACGTCCCTGCTTACCTCTCCGTTGTCACCCAGCGAAAGCAGCTGCGATGCTGGCTTTTTAATGTTACGTTTTAAGATGTGGTTTTGGAAGGGACCCCCCTGGAATCTGAGACAAGTGCAACAGAATAGCAGACCTACTTGTAACTAAGTGCTTAATTTCCTATGATTTTTTAAAAAAGAAAATCAATAAAATGTTGCCAGTTATTTATTGGAAATAACCACAGATAGCGGCCCTGATAGGGTGCCGGTTTTAGAGAGCACACAATTGTGTAATGAATTGTAATTCAGAAGACTGTTAAATGTGAACCACAGAACCTTTCAGAGGTAATAAAGTCATTACTTTTTACACTACCGCCAACCCTGAAAAGCTTTATACACACCATTATATATAAATCACACACATACAGTATATATTTCCACAACACAATTCACCCATTTATATATCTTCTCTTTGTATGGACTTTTATGGATGGATGGGACCAAGATTCAGATTTGAAAAGCCAGGTTCAGAAAGAACCTGGCTCACCATTGTTACCTGAAGGGGGCTTTTATTTTTTTATTTATTTTTCGAAGGCCTCCTAGGAGCTCGTTCTTCTTCTCTCCTCCCCTTCCCTCCAGCGGGCCACCTCGAAGTCCAGCCTCCCCTCCTCCCTCCGCAGTGACATTCATTTAGTGGCTTCGCGGCTGGTTCAACAAGACAAAAAACAGACATTAGTGGAAGAGAGGTAGATGCTGACCTGCTCGGAAGAACTCAGTGAAAAGGGGAAATGGTGTCATGCACATGCTACTGAGCTTTACTGCAAGAGAATCTTCCTGCTACTTAAACAATTTGAGGTTCCCTCCCTAAACTGGAGGGAAACAATAACTTCAGCCATCACCAACACCACCACTCCCATTTACAAGAACCCGGTCCAGTCCACATCTCTCCCGATGTTGGGCATCAAAACCCTTTCCTCTTTAGAGGGCCCCGAAGCTTCGCCGAGCTAGGCAAGCCAGTTATTTCCTAATAGGTTCGAAACTTTCCTAAGAGGACGCAGGAATAAACAGCCGCTCGCCAGCGAAGCTGGGAGAAGAGGACTTGTGCAAGCCAAAGGCCCTGGCTTAAAACAATAAAGTCCCCCGCCGGGTGGGTGCATTTACAGAAATGACCCTCTCAAACTGAAGAGGGGTCTGAGGAGACGCGAAGGGAAGTGAAGCCGCTCAAAGAAGAGCGAGGGAAGGCTCCTGGCTCTGAGGACACAACTCACACGCCTCCACCTGCAGCTCGGGGTCTCGCGGGCCGGGGCCACCGGTGTCCACCCTGCACCCTCGCGCCGCCCTAGGACGCGAGTCCATTTCCTCTCCCCTCCCGGCCCTTCCTGATTTGGAATCGGAGCGCGATCTCCCCTGAGGCGGCGGCGGCGGCAGCGGCTGGGTGGTGTAGGCAGGCAGGGAGCCTGGGAGGCGGGAGACGCCGGGGGACTTTGCAAGCACGTTTCTGAATAAACTTTCCAATCGCAGGGGGTGCTGTTGCTGTACATTTACGTAAAACTGAAAGTATCCCACGCCAGAGTGAAGCCCGCTTTCTGACAGCGGTAGCGCGCGCGTGTGTGCGTGTGTGCATTAAAGAGACAGGGGTTTATTTCCAACAGGTCTCCCCCAATTTCCAGGGAGCGTCTGCAGAAAGGCGAGACGGGGCTGCTGGCTCTGGCTGGTGCGCCGTGGCCGCAGTCGCCCGAGGAGCGCGGCGCTGACCCGGGGCGGTCATCTAGCCACCGTGGCCTCCCCGCTGCTCCTGCGTGCCAGCCGCTCCCTGTCCTTTCCTCATTTTCTCTTTCCCCTGTACCAGTTGTGCTCTGCCCTTAAGAAACATTTCTTTGCATCCCTCCGTGTTTTTGCAGTTACTCTGGAACCGGAGGGGGTGTGTCCCTGTTTGGGACCCGGCCCAGGGACCTCCCGGGGCACAGGGATCGCGTTCCCAGGGACTGCCTGTGCTTTGTCCTCCGGCCCAGGGCCGCTCAGAGGTGGACGCCTTCGCGTCTCCCTCGCCCCGGGCCCCCGCGCTCCCCTCCCGGGGCTGGAAAGCGACCTGACTCTGGCTCCCGGGTCTTTAGGTCCTTATTCCTCCGCCCCTCTCTCCCGCTTCCTCTCTGCGACCCTTGGGAAGGAGGAACTAGGTGCTTTCAGTTGCATTCAGACCCAGTCGCTGGTTGGGGTGCTTAGCTCACCGATTGCTGGCTCGGACTTGGGGGCGCCCTCCTGGCCCTTGGGACCCAGCCTATCGGCCTCGATCCGACCCCCTCCCTGCAGGCCACCCAGGTCCTTGAGGCCCCGGTACTGCCTTTCCGGACCCGAAACCTCCAAACTTGGGCTGGATCCCTCTTCGCCGCGCGCTCCCGCCCGCCTTCCCATCGCTCGCTGAGTAGCTGTAACTTGGAGGTTCAGCTCTTAACTTCGGGTGATTTTTCTTTTCTTTCCTCTCCTTGGCAAAGTTTCCCGAGCGCTGCCGCGGGCTCGGGGCTTTCACTTCGGCCCCAGGCGTCCGCAGGCGGGGAGCGAGCGCGGGGAAGGCGGCAGCGGGAGGGGAAGTGGGTGTG